ATAGATCAAAGTATGTATTCTTCTTTGGGTAATGGTGGAATTGGACACCGTCCTCCTTCAACTCTTCCGCCTCTTCCTCCCGTGACTCTCCCGACGTCATGTTTTCTTCAAGTTGAAAAATATGAAACTACTCAATCCCTATTGGCATGTAAACATGAAGATGGAAATTCTGTGTATGCGCATGTTCTGAAAATGAAATTGTACATTGACAAATTGAAAAGAATGGGTGTCGTATTCTGGAAGGAGCAAGCCATTGATTAGTTTCTCATCTCGCTTCGAAAGTCATATGGTCAATTCATTAAGAACTTTCATATAAGGAATATCGATGTGACCCTAATTGATCTGACCTAACTGTTGGTAGTTGCTGAAGCAGAAATGCTTTAAAACAAAACTAAAGTAGAAATGCTTATAGGGTCTAATCCCAAGGTTTCCATGGACATTGACAATGGTAACATTGTGATCAAGAAAAAGGTTTCTCTTCCCAATCGAAATGGATCGGCCAAGGTTAAACTGTTTGATCGTATGGTAAAGAGAAATGTTGATTCTAAGATCAGTCCCAATGTTGACCCCAGTGAGTGCATTTGTTTCTACTACCAATTGAACGGACACTGTAAGCAAATTTGCCCCAAATACCTGAATGATCTTAAAGATGGTAAAGTCAAGTCGTGTGACTCTACTTCAGGTACATCCATTATCTAACTCCATAAGTTCTTATTCATAGATTCTTAATACGTAATGTGATGATCACATTTTGATGTGGTATTGCAGGATCTAAAAGAAAGAAGGAAGCCTGAACAAAGCAAGCTAAATCTTATTGTGGGAAATGGACTACTGTCGCATGGTTCGACGATCATAATTTGGTGATACTACTAAGGAGTTAGGATAATTTAATACATTGTTGTTACCTTTCGAAGATGTCTAGAAACATAGTTTTCAATTTTTCATGCATTGTAAGGACAAGTTCCAATTTTCTATTTAATCAACAAGAGGTGAAGTTTTGGTTTATATAGTTGCCTTTTTTATATTTCCTTGCAATGGCGTAAATGAATGTGTTGATCATGTCTTTAATATTAGAAATATTAATTTTGGATTTTAGTCTTATGATAACCCTTGTGGTACTGTCATAATTGACCAAATGAAAAGAAATCTCATCACTAAGTTTCAATTGGAAAGAAACTTGGAGTCATACAATTTGAATTGCATGATGCATGAGAATGTTATTCATTAAAAAATTACAAATAACTTATTGTTCTCATGTTTATGTGAAGCAAGTGAAGGATTTATTGATCTAGTATATATTGATATAGACCTTTCTGATCCACCACAAGGGACAATAACTCTATTTGTCATGATTTACTGATGTATCAGTAAATATGATTATGTTTATAAGATTAAACATAATTCTAATACTTTTGAAAGGGTTCAAAGAGTAGTAGAATGCATAGGAAGAACATATTAGACAGAAAGATAAAAGATTCTCTAATCTGAAAAGAAAACAAAGTACTTTAGTATCCTACTTATAATCATCTTAGTAATTGTGGAATTGTATCCCAATTTATCCTCAAATAACATGTTAGTTTGTATGTCTAAGAAGAGAAATCGAACATTATTTGAAGTGGTTCGATCATAGATGAGTCATGTTTCGTTCCAATCATAGATGAGGCACTGTAGGAACTTCCTCTAGGATCACATCAGGATACTCTCGAACGATCGACACATCATCAACCATCCTCTTTACCTCCTTTATAGTATCCAATACATAACCTACGAAGCTCAAACACCCCTACTAAAGATAGCTCCTAGCCCTTGTGGCTAAATAGAGAACGGGTATACGCTGAGCACCCATGCCACTACTAGAAAAACAGCCTTTTACGACGCACAAACAATGACACGCAGTGATTTACGATACGCAAAAGCGTGCACCCAAAAATAATGTCATCTCTTCTAAAATTTGAAGGGTAGAGGACACACATTTGTGCGTGCCCTGAAATTAGTTTCAGAAAAGAAAAAAAATACAAACACGGAGGGCACTTATCTTAAATGTGTGTCCTCTTCGAATGTCGCTTTATATATTTTTTTTACTTAAACATGCATTTTTAAAGGGGGAAAATGAAATCATTTGAAATTCTAAAAATTTTGAAGAACCCCGCTTCTACCCTCTCTCCTCAGTATATCCCTTCATTCACTCCTTCCTTCTCTCTGTAAACCCTAAGCCATCGCCAACGCCACCGCCACCGCCACCGCCACCGCCACCGCCATTGAACATTTAAAAACTCAATCCACACTTCACGCTTCTGTGATTCTCTCTTCTTCGGCTCTCTAATCTCCGATTTTCATCTGAAAACATCTATCGACCTCCGATTAGAAACCCAAAAAAATTAGAAAACTCCACATTTCCGAGCGTGTTGGCGCCGGTGCTCTGGTGTACCTTGTCACCGTTTTATAATTCGCCCGACCCTTTATGTAATGCCCGTGTTTCTAGGCTAGGCATTTATATTGACATTATAGTCTAGTTTAACCTTTGTAACTCATTTTGAAGAAATGAAAAGGAATTATGTGAATATTATGTGAATTATGTGTTTTATGCTTAATTATTAGGGCTTAATTAATTAAGAATAAAAATGAGCGTCAAAAATTAAATTTTAGATAAAGCCGATATCTATTAAGAAACTTGTAGTGGGCGTGACAAGGATTACGGATATATAAAGAATGCCGAATTCCGAGTGTATAAACGAAGAAGTTATGACATGTCGAAGTTTCGCGACAAACCGGCACGGGGCCGAATGTCGTAAAAAGTGAGTTTTTGATAAACTACTTTTTGGCCTTAGTGATCTAAACGAAACTTGTAGTGTTCGTTAAACCGAGAGTAGGTATAAAAAGAACGCCCAAATCTGACTTCGTATGAGGCAGTTATGATTTTTCGAAGTTTCAGCTTAGTAGTAGACAGCTAAAAACTCGAATTTTAGATCGAGTGATTTTTAGCCGACACAACCTAAATGAGAATCGAAGGTCTCGTCATTAGTAGCACAACGGTAAAAAGTCTGACAAAAACAGACGTCGGATGAAGAAGTTATGAATTTTTAACGGATTTCCTGTCCCAGTTTGTTAAAAATAATAATATAAAAATTAAAGTCAAAATTAGCCGACGAAGTCTAAACGAAAGTTGTGGAGCATAATTTTACCTACGCGTGCATATAAAGAACGTAAAAAACGGAGCTCGTATGCGAAAGTTATGGATTTTAGAAGTTTTTGCACAAAAACCGAGAAAATTCGCATAGTCACGAGTTGCCACGTCACCCTCGCCTCGCATGTGCCACGTGTCCGAAATGGTGAGTCATGCGAAGCCACCTGTCGGATTTTGATTCGACCGAAGGGAGGCCCAATCCGAACCTCGCACGCCTTACTCCGAGCCTCGCATATGGACTGCGAGTCCGCGGTCCAATCAGCAACTGCCACCGAGGCCTTCGCATGTGCAGCCTCGTGCGAGCCATCTACCCCCCCCCCCCCCCCCACCCCCCCCCCCCCCCCCCCCCCCCCCCCGAGCTTCCGCGGCTTCGGATCTGCGACGCGTGGTTCTTTCTCAGCCGTCGGATCAAGACTTCGGACTCCTATAAATAGAAGCCTCCTGCGAGCCTTCTCGGATACTTTTGGGATTTCACCACTTTTCACCCCTTTCTTCATATTAACATCCCCCGAAGCCCCGATATCGATTATAAGCCCCGGAATACGCCACGAAGAGCCCGTAAAGCCCGGAAAAATTTATCTTTTCGGTTTCGAAGGCCGACTTTTGTAGAGCCCGGTTTCTCAATAAAACTCCCGGTTTTATTAGAAACGGACATTTTAGGAAACGAATTGCTGCCCGATTATCATCAAAACAAGTGAGTGTATAGTCACTTTCATTTTACACATAGATATGAAGTATTTACCTTATAATACATGCTATGTGTAAATATATTAATTGTTTATTTGAGGTGACTGTTGAGTTGATGTTTTATACAAGTTTTAAACTGTATAAGTATTTTTATCTACAAATATGTTGGGTAGAACATGGGTAGATAGTGATGTGTGATAAAATAAAAGTGATGAGAGGCCTCGTTGTGATTTTGTGATTCAGTCATCTAGCGGAGTTTGGATGACGACCACGGACTTTCTAGACAGTCCAGTGGGAAACATTAGCAGGTCCGCAACCTGTAGGTGTTAATGAACTTGGGTGTTTATTCGCTGTACTCCATCCCTCTCATGGTTGCCTTTAGGACATGTATGGCTGAGGAAACCCCTTAGCAGTAGTGTCCATCCCGATGATATTCTTTAGGCTAAGTCCCTTGTGAAAAGTGTTTAGGGACGTAAAGTGAGGATAACGGGAACGGGTAATCAGGGTTATTGTTGATTGGTGAACTTAATAAGTTTATTATTACTGTGGGTTAAAAACCCTATATGCTCACCAGGCTCCCAAGCCTGACCCACTCAGTTTTTTTTTATGATTACAGTTAGTGGACCCCGAGCTTAGTCGGAGGATGACGTGAGATTTTTGGATTATAAGCCAGTAGTTGTAAATAACTGTAGTAAGGCTTATAATGTCTTGTTTATGCTTTTGATCTGTATCGAAACATGACATCCCGAGGTTTTGATATATATGAAAAATATATACCTTCTTAATGAAGGGTTTTGATAAACTTTTATCATATGTTGTTTGGGGACCAATTCCGCAACATCTTTTGAAAAGAATTCTCTGATTTTATTTTAAAAAAAGCATAAATTAAATCGGTCTTTTCTGGCCGAGAAATTAGGAGATGTCACACTTTAATTTTTGCAAACCCATCAGAACCCTAGGTCTTGCCTTTTATGCTTTCACATCCTTCCTTCCCTAGTCGTATGTTATTCTGAATCCTTATTTCTTTTCTCTATCACGAACGCGCCTCTATCGCATAGCTCTGCTTACCGTTGTCGTCTTAGGCTCTTACGCCTCCATCGTGGTCTCTGTGCTCATCGTAACATCATACATGCCGCCTCTTCTCGTCGTCTTGCTCCTTGACCCTACGCAGGTAATATCATCAGTACTCCCTTATTGGTCATTGTTGTTCTTATTCCCTTCTTTTGTTGTTTGTCTGATTCCATCTCGATATCAATTTTCTAACCGCCCCACTATTCTAGACGGCCTCCGTTATGTTATTCCATTAGCTGGTAAGTTTTGGCACAATAGTTTGCACTCATCTCGCCTGTTCTCCTCTCTGTGTTCTCTTGATCTCAATATATGTTCTTCATATTCTGTGGAATGATGTTTGTTTTGAATTTTGATTTTTACTATGAAATTGAGGGTTAGTTTAATGCAGTTTATAATTGTTGATATCGAGCCTACGACCTGTTTATTTTTACTTTTTCCTGGTCCCCTTTTATCTTACTAAATTATTTGCTTTTTATGTTTTTGATGAATCTTGATTTGTGGGAAGAATGAATTAATGTTGACAAAGTGGTTTTGCTTTTTTTTTTATGAACACCACCTGTTTGATAAATTTCCCCAATAAACAAGCAAAAGTACAATTGACTAATTCATCAATGACATTAATAATCACACTCTGATACAACATGCAAACTAAGACAGAGATGTAATCTGGTTTAGGCATGGGGAGGTGAGAATGGAAATAAATGGAAATGGATGTTTATGTTTTTATGATGACTATCTTTTCATGTTTGAAGTTGTTGATAAAAATGGAAATATGTTCCTGTGTGATGCTTGTGCAGGTTAAATTCTGCGTCCATCACTGTCTTTTCTTTTCTTTTAGGAGATGTATGTTCTGGTATGGCTGGTTATGTTGGCATATGGGTTTCTATACGTGCTAATGTTCATGTTTCAATTGTTGCAAGAAGACTACATGAGAGGCTTTACATGTTTCTTTCTTTCTTTATTCTTTACTTACATAGTTGTTTTCTAAGCATCTTGTTGAGCTGGCATATTTTTTTGTTTAGATAGCGATTTGTGATGGTGGTTTCTCTGCCTTGGTGGTGGTTGGTATGGCTGTTATTGGTGTTGCAATCCTGTATGCCACATTCTATGTTTGGTTAGGTATGGACACACTTGGATCAATGAAGGTTATTGACTGTAAGTGTCCATTTAGTATCTTATTTAGTTCCAGAACATGTTCATTTTTTTATAATGAAGCTCCATTTTTGAAATGATTAATGACACAGTTAAATGTTGTAATTGTTTGAAATCCAGTTTAGTAAGGAACCTGGTAAACACTTAGAGGAATGCAAGCTTAAGGTTGTGTATATTGCTCTTCAGGGGAATAACAATTCCGATGATCCTCCCAAAAAGAATTCTGATCCTAACTCTGTGAGTTCAATGGCAATTCCTTTTCCACTTTCCGGATTCCAATATAATCCAATACAATTGGAATGCATGATTCCATTCCATGATACAGTTGGTTGTGAAATAGACAAAATCTAATTTAGAATCCTTCACAATTGATGAATTTCACAATACAGATGGGAAGGTGGAATTTTTTTTTATTTTTTATAAAAGACCAAAATACCCATGTATTAAAATAAGTTAAATAGAAAATCAACAAAATTATCTAACTATTAGAAACATAAAGTTATCTAATTTAGGGTTTAGGGATGCAAACAGGCACATTAAATAATGAAACTGCATATGTGACTAATCTGATGTCTAGAAGCACTGGAGATGCCTTAAGAGATCCCGCATCCTGTAGTGTGAGATCATTCAGAAATCCAGATATATATGTAAAATCTGGCAGTGGTATAAATGAGAGAGAAACCATCTCAAAACAAAAGATTGACAACTTTGACACAACTGATCTTGATTGGACTGATAGCATGCCAGAATGTCCAGTATATTTCCCAAGTAAAGAAGAGTTCGAGGACCCTTTGGCTTTTCTCCAAAAAATTGCCCCTAAAGCTTCAAAATATGGTAATTAACTTAATAACTTGTCATTATAAGTTTCTTAACATGAAAGGTGTGTAAATCCATTTCCATGAAATCTTATCACAACAACATTTCTTAGGTATATGCAAGATTGTTTCCCCTTTGAGTGCCTCTGTTCCACCTGGCATGGTTTTGATGAAAGAGAAAGTTGGTTTTATGTTTACTACAAGGGTGCAGCCTCTTCGTCTTGCTGAGTGGAATACTGATGATAAAGTCACATTTTTCTTGAGTGGAAGGTGTGTTTCTTTGTATATATTTGGAATTTACTTTTTCTTTTTATTATGATATCAGGTTTTGAGTATCTTTTTTATTCATCAGAAACTCAAGCAAACTTGATGATAACTCTTTTCTTGATCTTCTTGGTGAAAATGCCACTTTAACAGAGTGTGAGCATGATTCTGGGATCACCAACACATTTATATCATCAATGCTATGTGCTTCACCTGATCTAATACTGCATCATTTCCTGGAAGTTATATCTATTTCATAGAAACTAAGTGGAGTTCTTTTTTTTTTCTATCCTATATTCTATTTGTTTTCTTGAAAGGAGTTTTTTCAATGATATCTGCAAGTCATGGCCTGAATTGTCATTTTCAGGATTAGAAAGGGCAGTTGATGATCAAATCAAAGGGGATTCACCAAACTCTTCTGAAGCATTCTCTTGTTTTCTGAAGCAGGCTCCATTTTATGTGGTGTTTCCAGCTATTATAAGCCCTGGATGCTTGTATGTGTCCAAGTCATCCAACCTTCAGGACTTGCTGTTGGTTAAGCTGTCAAAAGAGATGTATGATAATTTTGTTTCTTCTTTCCGCCTTGTGTTTTTCTGGTTTCATCATGTACAGGTTTGTAATTTTATTTTATGAAAATTATACTATTTCATATTATTCAAATGTCTTGTGAATATTACAGGATTGTCAGATATACAAGGGTTGGAACTTGTTTTCCTCAAACTAAAAAAATCGTCCCATGCATCATCAACAGAACCCTCATCCGAGTCTCTTCCTTTGTTGTTGCTGCTTCTCTCTCCTTCCTTCGTGCAAAATACACATCACATCTCTTTATCATTATTACTATATTCTCTTAAAATAAAAAGTAAGTGTATGTATGTATGTACTTTGACAGTGGCAAAAGCTACAATGTTCCCACATGCAACATCTGTTATAGCTGACCTTGTTGTTCATCAGTTGGAATTAATAACCGATCTTCTTGGGACACCATCAACAGATACCATTTCTGGAGTATGACTCGTCACTTTTTATTTTTTCCATTTTATAAAAACTTAAGTAGTGTTTGGTGTGGTGGAATCGGAAAAGGAATGGACAAAAAGCTCAAAAACTGAATCAACAAAAGTCTTCTAACCCTTCGAACTGTAAGTATTTTTATTTATGCTTTTGTAATTGACCAATTTATTTATTTTTGTTTGGGAAATTTATTTCAACTGGATTTGCAGGTAATTCGAAAGCTTAGTGAGCGGAAGGCTTCTCATTGAGTGGCCATGGACATGTTTTAGTAACTATAAACTATAAATAAATCAGAATTAGTAACCGGCTTGATCAACCCAAGTGGATTCACGAAAGGAACCGGTATGTGCTGCTGAAAAAGGCGGAGTCACTCCATCTGTTTATTTACGAAAGGAATCGGTGGCAAACCAATGATATGGAAGATTTTTTTTTGACATGACATCTGAAACAAGAAGGTGCCCTTAATAGAAATGTAGTATTAGGTTATATAGTTAGGGAAAACCTCTTAATAACAATGTACAATTAGATCCCTTAATACCGATGTATTACAATTTTTTGACATGATGTTATTGGATGAAATTGATTGTTTAGATATATATATTTGTTTATATATTTTTGTATTATGAGTAAATGAGTATCTTAAAGGCACGTTGAATATGCGTATCGTAAATGGTTGTTGAAGTTTATGACACGCAATTGCGTGTCAACTTCATTTATGACAGGGGCTTTAATGATACGCAATGCGTGTCCTAAACGCGCGTCGTTAGATTACGACACGCAAATGTGTGTCGTGTTCCTTTATGACAGGGCCTTTCTTAATACACATTGTGTGTCGTAACCGCGCGTCGTAAATGCGTGTCATAAATGCGCGTCGTAAATGTGCGCCGTAAATAGACGACGCGCAATAGCGTGTCGTCTCTCGTTATCAACGGGCCTTCCTTGACACGCATTTGCGCGTCGTCTGAGCGTTTTACAACACGCATTGCGCGTTGTAAAAGGCTGTTTTTCTAGTTCTCCCACACGCATTGCGATGAATAACTAGTTCTCCCACACTTGTGGTTTGAACCCAAACTAAATGGTGTCTGTTGTCAATCATCACCCCGGTAGGGCTTGACCAATCAATACCAATGATAACCTTGCTCTCACACAGAGGTATAGGAACCAAATCAATCAGATATTACTCATGAAACAACTCCAACACACAACCCCGATGAACCCTCAATACACGTGAAAGACGGTCATCGGTGATCTCCACTTCTAGCGGATAATCAAGCTCTCCAGGAGCGTCACTAAACCTCTTGTTGAGAGCAAGAGATACAAATGATCGGGTGGTGCCCGAATAAAAAAGGACCAAGGCCGAAATTCTGTTCACTAGGAATGTCCCTAAATAGAAGTATATACAATAAGAATAATCAAATATGCAATAAATGAAATAAGGAGAAGATAACTATCAGTAACTACATCAGGTGCTGCATGAGCCTCCTCGACTATCAGCTGAAAAGCTCAACTCCTCATAAACAACGCGCTCTCCTTGCCCTGGTGGTCATCAATGATCCTTAATGTCGCTGGAGCAGGTGCTACCACCACTCCCACTGTCAAACTATGACAATCGTTCTTCTTGTGGCCCCTATGATTGCAATGGAAGCAAATCATACTCGATCCATGGGTAGTAGTGGTGGTGGCAGTGCAATCCTTGCTGTAGTGACCCCACTTTCACCACTTGAAGCATCCAAAACCACCAACCCTTCAAATCCCCTCGTGCATCTTGCTGCACTTGCCACAGAGGCTCCGGACTTGCTGGCCTCTCGACCACAAATCAACAGTCTTGGGCTTCTTCGGTGCCCCCTCAGATATTTGAGCCTGAACTAGTTTCTACTTCCTAAGAAGCTCTAATTCAATCTCCTGCTCCTCGCTCTCACTATCATGTGCTCCAAGGTCCTGTAGCTGGACATGCTAACAAACTCAAGAATCTCATACTTCAACATATCATGGTACCTTGCCTTCTTCGTCTCCTCATCCGCCACATACCGCGGAACCAACAAATCCGTATCACGGAACATGGAGGTGATCTCCACCACAGACTCAGTAGTCTGACGAAGGTCCTGAAACTCCCTCGCCAACTTTTAAGCCTCGATCACTGGTGCAAACTCAATTTTGAATCTCATCGTAAAATCCTCCCATGTCATTTTCTCAACAACCACTCCTCCCAAGGCGTGGTCTACCTCCTCCTACCAATCACGAGCTTTGTCTTTTAGAAGACAGGATGGAAATCTGACCTTCAAGCGCTTGGGGTAGAATCTAGTCCGAAAAGCGTTCGTGATGTCCTCCAACCATCTCCTACTAACAATGGGGTCCTTCCTCCCAAAGAACTCACGAGTCCCATATGCACGAAACTCTCGAAAGGTCAAATAGCATGGACCCACCATAGCCACAATCTCAATACAAAATGTGCCCAAACGCTCATCCAGTATCTTTATAATGCCCTCATTGATCCTACCAAAGATCACATGAGTCTGCTCCAGAATACCACGAGTGATCTCTGACAAAATGAACTCTCGCACCTGATCATGCAAGAGTCCGACTCCAGAGCCCGAACCCGATCCTTCACCAGGACCTAAACCACGTTGAGTGACCACCATACTGAAAGATAATAATGCAACCATCATAAAACACTCAAAGAATTTTCCATACTTAGCAAGTGTTGGATTAGATGTCTAAGCCTATAACTATTATTGGTATGTACTTGACCCGAGAGTAGTATGATCCATTTGGGTTGTATATCATCAGGACGATTTGTTAGGATGGATTCTTGAGAGAAGGTTATATATGATTTATTAATATATTATAAGTTATAATATATTATTATGAAATCATATGTTTTAATTAGTATTGATCAAGAATTAATTTAGTGATCAAAAGAGACTAATTAAATCTATGAGGACTAATTATGGTAATTAGTTATATTTATATGTGTTGGGATTATGATCCATGTTGGACCAAGTTTATGTATGGACACATAAAGAGTTGGGCCACATGAACCATGGATCATAAAACCCATGGGTATGGATTTGGGTTATATCCATGACTCTTGGAATCCAACATATAAATATGCACTCCTTAGCCAAAAAACGCCTACATGCATGTTCTTGGAGTTCATGGGTGTTTTTGGTGCATGGTGATTCTCTCTCAAGTTCCACCTTTGTCCATGATGTGTTGTGACTTCATTTGAGGCTTCCACACTATTGGGGCTAAGCTCTTAAGGCCAAATACATCAAGACTTCAAGCTACATAAAAGGTATGTTACCCTAACTAGTATCGTGTATGGTATATGTCAACTACATGCTAGTTATAGGCTTAATACCTTGGAAACATCATTGCATGTATAATTAGTGAAAACATAGATCAAATGTATTTAGGGTTGTATGTGCACCATAGGATGTTGTATTATACTAAAACCCATCAGTGGTATCAGAGCCTAGGCTTGGTTTTCAATTATACTTGATGCAATAGCTTGAAAATCGAAATTCTGGATTTCTGGACTGTGGACTCGCCGAGTCCATTGGGGGACTCACCGAGTCCAAGAGTAAACTCATCCAACTCGCCGAGTTGGTTCCTGCACTCGACGAGTTGGTGCTCCAGAGGTCAGATTTTCGAATTTTAATGCTGGAATTGGACTACGATTATTACCCTAAACTGTTTTGAACTTATAAACTTGTTTTTGATGTGGTAATGATCATGCTAATCCAATTTCAAAGATAATTATCATATTTTCAAGATTTGTATTAGTTTTGGAATTTGTAAAGTTTCCCCCCATGAATACTTTAATTCCAAATTCAACCCTTAGAATTTTAATAGTTTAAAATTCAACCCTTATACTATTATAATATTATAGGTTTAATATATATATATATATATATATATATATTATATATATATATATATATATATATATATATATGTATAAGAACAAAGTCAGTCTTACCGTTAGTAGGCCTCATTCACGAAGCCGGTCTATAAGGGGGGTATAAGGTTACTGCCTATAAAATGGCAGTTTAATGGGTGTCCACTCTCACCCACCGCTTCCTTGACTGGTGGAGGGTCGTTAGCAAAATGGGTAGGACATGACATCAATTCTCCTTTCATTAAAAGTATAATGATAAATATAAAGTAACTAAACTTTATTAAATTCCCAATGTTAGTTAATTTAGGAAAATGTGAATTTGGTGCTAACCCATGAAATTGCACTTTGTACCTTGTTAAGTCGTTAGTGGAGCGTGTGTGGTTAACTGGCACACTAATCTGGGACTGACAATGTGTGGAAAATGGTAGCTTGATGTTAATCATAGATCAATGGAGTGTGTGTGGTTAACCGACACATTGATTAGGTGGTTGTAACATTAAGTGTACCAAGTTAATTTGCATGGTTATTCACTCCTTGTTTGTGATCCTCGGCATCCTAGTCACAAACTTGAAGTGCACAATCGAGATTTAAACATGCCATTGAATAGTTCAATGAATCTCAAATGATCTAGGAGTTTCGATTCATTTAAAACCTAATGTTAAATTTCGTTTTTCATGGTGGAAATTGGTAAATCGTCATTTACCTACCTTCAAATATTTTGTAGCTTGGATTACGACATCCCTATTCCAAGTTGTAAAATATTGTGTTGGGTCCTAGCCTTAATATTTCATATTGGGTGTTATATTAAGGACTTAAATCAACTAAACTTGAATTTCTCCCTCATAGATGTCTAGTTATGACAACTATGGTCTTCCATATCCTTTTGGATAAAGCGATCCTAATGAAGCAGATATCCCAAATGGCGATCAAGGTGAAAGATTAATCCCTTTATTGTGCATTAATGGGAATGGAAATCATACTTCACTTCCTCCACCTCCTCCAATTATTCTCCCTAACCCACAAGTTCTTGAAAAGTTCAAGGTCACTCAATCCCTATTGGCAAGGAATGTCTATATGTGCTCACATCTTGGAGATAAAGTCA